GCTCTGGTAGCATAGTGCCTAAGGCACTTGACTGCTAACCAGAAGGCTGGCGGTTCAAACCCACCAGCCACTCCTCGGAAGGAAGATGGGGCAATCTATTTCCGTAGTGATACTGCCTTGGAAACCCAAGGAGGGGGCACTATGAGTCGGGTCCCACTCGATGGCACATAACAACAATATAACAATGGAAACACAAAAATTTAATTTTTAGATGGTCCCATTCACCTAGTTTCTCTTCTGTTGTTTGTGTATATTGGGTTATGCTTGATAGTTTATTTATGCCATATATTAAGGCCCCTAAATTTGCCCATAGTTTTTCCTTGAGGAACTCTGTAGTTTTAGGTTTCGTATTTAAGTCTTTGATCCATTTGGAGTTAGATTTGTGTACAGTGTGAAGTACAGATCTTGTCTCATTTTTCTGCAAATGGCTGTCCAGTTTTGCCAGCATCATTTATTAAACAAACATTCTCTTCCCCATTTAATGGATTTTAGCCCTCTGTCAAAGATCAGCTGACCATAGGTTGATGGATCTACTTCTGGGTTCTCAATTCTATTCCATTGGTCTATGTGTCTGTCATTGTACCAATTACCAAGCAGTTTTGACTACTGTGGCTATATAGTAGGTTTTGAGATCCGGCAGTGTGAGACCTCCTTCTTTGTTCTTCTTCTTCAACAGTGCTTTGCTTATCCCAGGTCTCTTTCCTTTCCATATAAAGTTAGTGATTGGTTTCTCCATATCCTTAAAAAATGTTGATGGGATCTGGAATGGGATTGCACTGAATGTATACATTGCTTTGGGTAGAACTGACATTTTCACAATGTTCAATCTTCCTATCCATGAGCATAATATGTTCTTCCATTTCTGTAGCTCTCTTTTGGTTTCTTGAACTAGTTGTTTAGTTTTCTTTGTATAGGTCTTTTGTGTCTCTAGGAGCTCTGGTAGTGCAGTGCCTAAGGCACCTGACTGTTAACCAGAAGGCTGGAGGTTCAAACCCACCAGCCACTCCTTGAAAGGAAGGTTGGGCAATCTACTTCCATAGTGATACTGCCTCGGAAACCCAAGGAGGGGTCGCTATAAGTCGGGTCTGACTCAACAGGACATGACAACAAAAATTTGTGTCCCTGGTGTTTTAGTCCCAGGTATTTGATTTTTTGGGGTAGCTATTGTAAATGGTATTGATTTCCCTGTTTCTTTTTCAGCAATCTCTTTGCTGGTGTAGAGGAATGCAACTGCTTTGGGGATGTTAATCTTATATCCTGCCACGATGTTAAATCTCTCAATTACTTCCAGTAGATTTTTGACTGAGACTCTTGGTTTTCTAGGTACAGCAACGTATCATTAGCAAATAGGGTTGTTTGACTGCTTCCTTACCAATCTGGATGCCTTTGATTTCCCTTCCTTGCCTTATTGCCCTGGCTAGGAATTCCAGTACAA